TTTTTGTTTGTTGAAATAGCATCTTTTACTAGCCTGTGACTTATAACTCGTTGTGACAGCTGGCCAGCAAACCTTGGGTATCTGTGTCTCCACCTCTTCAGTGTTGGGATTAAAGGCATATTCCCACCACTCCCCCTCACTTTATTTGAATTCTGGGTACTGAACTCAGGTCCATTACTGTCAGCCTTTGGTCCGGCAGGTGTCTAATGGCACTGCATTGTGGCTGTGGGTTCCTGGTTATGGTTGTTAAGGAGGATGTCGGTATCTGCATACATTGGCCATTTGCATTTTCTCATGGGTGCTGCCTCTGTTTAAGTCTCCCGTCACTTTAAAAATGTTTTCCATTTCCCATAGTATGCCTATTAAATCGATCCTAGATATTATGAATATGGAAACTTCTGCACTGTGACTCCATTTTATGACGTTGTTTGGTTTGGGGTAGATAAATTTGTGACTGAAAAAAATCCTTTTCAAGGCTGGAGCAATGTGTCTCAGCTCTTCCAGAGGACCAGGGTTCACTATCTAGCAAGCACATAGCAGCTCACAACTGTCTGTAATTCCAGTCCCACGGGATCTGACACCCTCTTGTCTTCCAAAGATGCTACACACGTGGTACATTAGGACATACATGCAGGAAAAAAACACCCGTACATCCAAAATAATAAATTTAAAATGTTTTTCTTTTCAACCCCAAATTATATTTTCTCATACATGTCCACCACAGGATTTGGAATAGACTTTTTTGAATATTGGAAAGGTACTGAGTAACATACAATATATAACATATTACACCCCCAACAAAGATTCAGCACCCACTATCATATACATTAAGCCTTCTAGAGCAAAAATTCTTAGTTATATAAGTAATAAATACAGTCTTACACCATTTTAGTGCATGTTTTCTCTCTCTCATATCAATGAGTTCCAAAGAGTTTGATGATTCAGAGATTGAGAGATTTTGCAATTAGTAAGATTTACAATCACAAGACAGGCATAATTAAATCGGTAAAAGTCAAGAGGACCCTCCTGGTGGAACCATCTGGAATTGTCCGTAGAAAGATTTTTCAGTACGGATACTAGCACCGTTACACATCTCTCTGGAAATCTGTGCGCTTTTCTAAACTTCACTTGCACTCAACCATTTCTAAGATCCTTTGACTTTCTTGTCTTCTAGAGCTAGCCTTTATTACTAACATCTCTCTTCAGATGTTTGTTCATTGTATTCTTTTTCCCAAAAACTAACTTGACTTTCTTTTCCCAGTGTCGGATGCCGCTGTGCGTTAGTGGATTGGCTACAGACCTGACAAAAGCAAAATTCTGGCTTGCTGTTTGCCGCGGGGTGAGTGTTTCATCGCGGTCAGTTTCAAGCTACCAATGATTTTTCGGTCATGGAGTTGGGACGGGGTACACAGACGGCTCTCTACACAAGGCTGGCTGTGGACACCACCGTTCCCATTTCATTCATGCCTGCTCTTGACGCATTTCTGTGGCACACACCCATACTCGCTGCCATACAGACAAAATAAGTAAACCTTTAAAATAGATTTCCGTCTCCAACTTAACTCATCTAAGGCTCTTTCATCGTTCTGTAGCCATCATATTTCCACAATGCTATCTATCTCCTTTTATAAACTGACATTGATAAGGTAAATTCATCCCTTAGACCACGGGGGTACATGTCCCGTATTTTGACGGTGCTTAGAATCACACTGTCACCCTGAAGACCCGTTGAAGGTGGTTCGGGCCTCACAGTGGCACCGACTGTAGAGCTGACTCTCCCGGACTGGTGTGAGTCCGTGCTGCACACGCATGCACGCGGCTCTTCCCAGGAGCTAGAGCAGACAGAACCAGGGCGCAGCCGGCAGACTGGCCTTCATCCGTGGCTCGACTCGTCTTCCTGAACATTCTACTTAAACACGGGCTCATAAATTAAACGCTCCTCTCAAAACATCCGAAGCACGGCAGAGACGAGGGGTCTGGTCTGCAAGCCTGGCCAACCTGAGCTTGGCCAACCTGGCCAAACTTCGCAGGGAGTCCGTGCTCTCTGGCTGGCGGCCTCCTCCTCCTGCTCGGTCCCCTCCGCCCACCTTCTATCCCTCCACTCCAGTCCCGGCCGCTGCGACTACTGGGCCGAGGGCGGTGACGATCGGTGACGCCCAAAAGCCGCGCCCACCACAGCCGGAAAACGCAGCCGGAAGTCCCGCCCTTCAGTGTGGAGCACTGCGGCCAGGAAGGATCAACACGGGTCAGCTGCTGCTTTCCCGGGGGAGCGTTTCCTTGCGTGGTCCGTGGACTCGCCGGGCGACTCGGCGGCCCAGGAGCCGAGCTCCTCCTCGCGCTCGCCCACGTTGGCTGCTCCTCGGGAGGCCGCGCGGAACTGCAAAGCTCGGGCCCTCCGCGCCGCAGCCCGGGGTTGTAGGCTAGCCCTGGGAGCCCTGCAGGAATGGCAGCCCCGACCATGAAGGAAAGGCAGGTGTGCTGGAGCGCGCGCGACCTGTACTGGCGCTGTCTCGACGACAACGCGGAGGACGCGGCTCGGTGCAAGCAGCTGAGGAGCTCGTTCGAGGCCAGCTGCCCCCAACAGTGGGTAAGTCCCGTGCGCTCGGCCTCACCTCGGGGTAGGACTGGAGGGACAAGGTCACGGAGGAGGGCGCGCGGTGGAAGCCACCAGTTGGTTGTTATTGCTGGAGAAAGTGACGGTGCGCGGCCGGATTCTGGGGAAGGGACAGTGTTGTGATGATTTCTGCAGGAGTCCATAGCCTCTCTCACAGTTCCGTCATCCAGCAGCATAAAAAGAAAGTTCTTTTCTTTTTAACTTTGTTCTGGTCTCTGCCAACTCCTATAAATTGCAGACTGAGAGGTGTGTCCAAAACCACGTGCGTGGGGGGGGGCGGGTGGAGCGTCGTGGGAATGTGTTCTGAGAAAGACACTAGGTTTTATTTGCTAGGATTTTCATCAGTGTTTGGAGGCCTTGAATTCAGTTTTAGGCGCTAGAGAGGAGAAACAGTTGTCCAAAACGAGACAGCCAACGTGTGGAGAGAGGATTTGAACTCGGGTTCTTAACTTTGTCTTTACTCTGCTGTACAGCAGTCCCTTGAGAAAGAGGAAGGTTGTGCTGTGCAGTACAAGGCCACGAGAACCAGGACTGTGGGTGACTGGAGTGTGCAAAGAGCAGCTTCAGGAGGAGATCCGCTCCTGGGAGAGGCTGAGTTCTGTCTGGGCAGGTTGTTGTCAACAGCATAACACTGCTTTCACGGCAAAGGATAGTGTATTTTGTAGCCAAATATGAGTGGCTGGCTCAGGAGCACAGATTGAAGTTTCCCTTAATACCATGTGGCATAAGTTTCATTAAGTTTTATGGGAACAGAACACAATTTTCAAATACATGGGTGGAAATGCAGGTTAAGTCCGTTCGTTACAGCAAAGCAGGAAAGCCTGTGCTGGGCCTCAGAGGCTGTCACATGACACGCTTAGCCTTTGGGGTGGTGGGAGCCAGTGAGTGGTTTCACCTGTCACCAGGGTGTGAAATCACTCACAGAGGTGGGCAAGGAATTCAGAGGGCTAAAGACGGACCCTCAACTTCAAGCCTTTCCAAAGCCCCTCAAATTCTGATCAGTAGGATTAGTTCTGTGGAAGGTTCAATGTAAGGTGTGGCTTTTCCCCGTTCATATTGGACTGTGATACCTCAGGTACCCCTAAATGTAACTGTCTCTGAGCACAACAGATACCTCAATTAACTTTTCACAGGACAGGAGGGACATTGTATGCTTTTAAGCCTGATATTCTTTTATATAGCACCCATTCTACTGTAGTCAGTTCAAGACCACCAGGGATAGAGCTCCACGCTGACAGTGACATTTTTGAATACCTTGTCACAACACACCAGAGGGACAAAGGCCATCAAACCACGGGGGATTTTGAGCAAGGATGGGGCTTTGGATGAAGCAGTGATGTCACGGCCTCAGAGCAGAGCTGTGCACCAGCAGGACCTCAGGGCTCAGGACTGAGGTAAACCCAGAGTCCTGTTTTCCATGAAGTGAAAGATTGAGCATCATGTTCAGAAACTATGTGTGAATTCGTACGTAGGTGGACAGTTAGGGAGGCTTCTCTCTGAAGGTGCCGTGGATACTCTGGGCAGGTGTGTTACATTTCCTTCTGATGGAACTTGAAGGAGCAAGTCTATGAGCAGTGGTAGAGAACGGGTTTCTCAGTGAAGGAGAAAACCATGTTCAGGCAGGCTCCATTAAGACATGCACTGAAGGTTTTTAACAAAATCAGCATTTTGTGGTCTCCAGTGCAAACATGAGGCATCCTACGTCTGCCCTGTCTGCAGAGCTGCTGGGATACAGGGGCTGGGGCAGTGGCATGGCTGGCACACGTGCGTTTTCCTTGGGTTTGATTTCGACTTGTAGAACATCGGACTTTTCAAATGCCGCATGAAGAGGATGATATGAATGGAAACAAAGCCAAGCCTTGAATAACTTGTGAATATTTAGTCATGTGTCCATCTTGACTTGTCTTTCTTGACAAAGATTCCAGGCCTGATAAATGATACGATATACTGACCCTATAACCAGCCATGGTCTAAAACTTAAGATTCCTGATCCAACCAAGAACTGCCAAACAGGCTCTTATGTGCCTAAGACTGTTTAAGTTCACGGGCCATATGTGCTAACAGCCAAGAGGGAACGGAGACTCATGGCTCTTTTAGGCACTAGATTCCCTGACTCAGGAGGCTAGAACACAAATCCTGGTTCTGCCTTGATATCATTAATGCTGAGTTACATTTAAATCTGCGCTTTTGCTTGCCAACTGCACAGCTTGCTCTAATGTCAGGCCTTTTTATCTCAATAGATAAAATATTTTGACAAAAGAAGAGACTACTTGAAATTCAAGGAAAAATTTGAAGCCGGAGAATTCCAGCCTTCACGGTCCACTGAAAATTCCTAGGCTCTTCCTGAACTTTCACGCAGGTGGAGATTATTCTTCTGGACTTTCAGAAAAGCTTTGCTGGTTCCAGGACAAAAGCAGTTTGGCCGCAATTACACACCAGCCAGCACCTGTCCCTTGTGACTACCAGTTAGTAAAAGGGTCAAGTAGCAGGAGATCCTAATCGTTCAAACTATGAAGGACTGACTGGTGCTGCGTGTGTTGCTTTAATTTCGTGAGGATCTATTTCAAGAAAAATATTAAAGTTTATTATAAAAACACAATGTTTATCTTCCTTTTCCCCCCTTAGAATGAAAGCCAAATAGTATGCAAATCGAGTTGCAGCTGATATAAATAAAAACTAAGATAGGTTGTTATGTGTGTTGCTGGCTTTTAGATTAGCATTTTAATGTGGAAACGACACAGTGAAGTTAGAAGCCTTAAGTAACCAATGCGTTATAATAAAAAGTTGTTCAAATGTCCTCAATGATCAGACAGTGCCTGAGTCCACTAATTCCAAGGTGATTAAGAAAATGCCAAAGGATGAACCCCCAGAAATGAACAGTAACTCACAAACCTGCAGACAATACTTAAAATCGTGTATTTCTTACAGAGCTTGTATTCAGAATACAAAAACAAAAACTTCATAATTCTTAATAAGAAAAATGAAACTGTTTAAAAAGTGAGCAAATTATGCGAATAGATATTGTAAGGATTACAGCTCGGATGGAAAGGAATCCTGGCAGACAGGACTACCACAGACTCGACGGAAGCGGAGCCGTGTGCAGCCCTGCTTCAAGGAAAGGTTTCCTCAGTGGAATAACTCTGAGGTCTGCCGGAGTGGAAGAGCTCTGCTCTGCCAGGGAAGGTTCTGCTGCACTCCAGGGAAAGAAGGTCTCACTCAAACCTCATTCAAGAGATTTATTGGGAAGGAGGAATCCTGAGGGTGGCTGCTTCTGCCATAATAGGAAAAGGCAGCTGCCAACTGAACAGGTACAGAGCTTATATAGGGCTTCTTAGGGGCGGAGTTTTTCCAGGATGAAGATTTTCAAAGCGGAATTGGTTGGATTTCAAACCTTGAGCTTGGACAAGCTCAGAGACTGGCTGGATTTCGTGTGCAAGGGGTTGGTTTCATGCCCAGGGATTGATTAGTTTTTCTGCCCAGCTGGTCAGGGGCAGAGTGTGTTTGTTTGGCTCTGGTTTCAGGGCCAAGGTATATTTCTTTTTTTTTTTTTTTTAAGATTTATTTATTTATTTGTTTGTTTATTACGTATACAACATTCTGCTTCCACGTATGCATGCCAGAAGAGGGCACCAGATCTCATTACAGATGGTTGTGAGCCACTATGTGGTTGCTGGGAATTGAACTCAGGACCTCTGGAAGAGCAACCAGTGCTCTTAACCACTGAGCCATCTCTCCAGCCCCTGAGGTGTGTTTCTTTCACTGGCCCTTTTTAACCTTTAGGCTTAGGTCTCAAGGCCAGTGAACTGGCTCTGGTCTCAGGATCAGGGTGTGTTTCTTTTATTGGCCCTCTTATCCCACAGATATTTCTTAAAATACAGTGGAAGATGAATATCTGAAAAGAGCCTCCATATCGTTAAATATTAGAATAATTAAAATAAATACTATACTGATAGGTCACTAGAAACCTGCTAGAATGGCTTAAATTAAAAGGCTGACAATACCAAATGACAAGGATGCAGAACAGGTCACCCTTGGTGATACTGTAAACTCGGAAAGCCCTCTGCAGAGGTTTTCAGGTAAAACACGCTGACTTTATGACCCAGAAGCCCCACTCCTAGGTGCTTCACCAAATGAACCGAAAGCAAAGCCTGCAGTGTTAACGCAGTCCCTAAATCCAAATGCCCTATAATGGGTGGAATGCCAACAGCATGACCCGGATGGGCCATGGATGCATTCTGCTACCTGAAAGAAGCCAGACTGTGACAGTGTTGGTTAACTCAGGTCACAGGAGTGGCAGCTGCTCTGATTGATGTTCTAGGCTTGAAACCCTGTTGCAAATCAAAGCCTCAAAACTACAGAAGGAAATGAATAGGCAAAGGACCCTGAAATCTGAGTATTACTCAAAGGGTTCCAGGGATAGCAAGTTCCTTGCTGGGCAGTTAACAATGATCATCCTTAAATAATGCAGCCATCAAAGCATAAAGCACTCATGGGCTTCATTCTTGGTTTCAGTAGGGATTTGCAGGGGTGGACCAACAGTCCTGGGGCCATGATTATCGTCCTTGGAGACAGATTTCTCACCACCACCGGAAGCACAGTAAGACAAATGCCATTTAAGCTAAGGTGAACAGTGGCTGAATTCACAGCTTTGGAAAGAGCCCAGGGCCTGAGGACAAAGAACTTCACTGGAGAGCAGATTCACATTTTGCCGTATATTAAAACGGAAGGGCGCAGGTGCCCATAAGTAACAACTTTAATTCTTCCACACCATTAGCACAGCCACCCTGACAATACTGGTTTCTAGGAAGAACATTTTTAAAAATTCATTTTTTAAAGCGTTCCATAGTTACTTAAAATATTTAAAAAGGTTATTTGATTTAGGGGACAATATACAGTAACAGACTTTAAGGCACATAAACAGGTTTTGGCATTGAGGTGCAAGGTTAGAGAGATGTAGATAATCCCGTGACATCTCAGAATATTTCATTCGTCCGGAGGGTTATAAGGCACCATCATTAGCACCATGAGAGATGGTGGGCGAGGCTCAGTCCCAGGATGCGGGCCCCGCACACCCGAGCAGCTGCTGCCTGGTGTACTCCCAGATGAGGAGAGCCCCGCTCACGTGCACATTCAGTGAGCGGATGATGCCCTGCTGAGGAATCTCCACACACACGTCCAGCTGCTGGATCAGGTCGGCTGGGATCCCTTCCCGCTCATTTCTGCAGAGGAAAAATGGAGTAGGACACGTTAGCTCCCCTGTAACACAGGGAGAACCTTTTACTAATTTTTTTTAGAAGTCCTGAATGTTACTGTAGGAGAGAGAGAAACAGATGACGTCAGCCTGGGTTCCAGGAAGAGGTCAATTCCATGTTTACTAGTAAACATCCCAGGGGTCTCCATCAGTGCAGGAAGTTGTATCACACAGGAGCCGACTCACCCCAACAGGAGCAGCGACTTCTCAGGGAAGCGGAACTGGGCCAGGTCTGAGCTCTGCGCTGTCTGCTCCACACCGATGACAGTGTAGCCTTCCGCCTTTTTCTGCTGCAGATAATCTGTCAGCTGCGCCCGCCTCACCTTGGTGGCAGTTTTAGAGGGGCAGGATATGAGATCATTCCGTTGTGAAATGAGAGGGTGGACAAAGCACTGAACTCAAACCCGACTTGTCTGTCAAAGGGACTTGAAAGGGAAAACAGGATACCAAATGACTTCGGAAAGAACTCCCTCCACATAGCAGACTGCTGAGCGGTGGCTGAATAGAGGGTAGCATGTTCTACCGAGGGGACTGCTACACTACTGCAGGTCACAGATAAAACCCCATGGGACTCAGCACTGAAGGATCAGACCGAGAAACTGGCATAAAGACAGTGTGCCAAAATACACTCGCAAGTATAGGATCTACTAAGCGGCGTTACACCTACCTCTAGCAGAGGGAGCCACTGCTCCGCAGAGACACTGAGGTGCTGGAACTGCCTGTCGCTGACACACTGAAGACTGCCCACCACAAGTGCCGCAGCTCCAAACACCTCACAGGTGCGGCACAGCCCTGCACAGAACAGCCTGTTACTCAGGTCTCCAGCCTTTCCTCTAAAGCCTGCCAAGAGGGCCATGTGTGGAGAAGACAGCCACAGAGGGGTGCTGAAAGGATTTAGGGTGACCCTCCTGGAGGACGATTTTTACCTCCTAAGTTGGTTGGCTTGTCAATGAGCGAGGCCACAACGATGAGTCTGCTGATGGACTTGCCAAGCTTGGCAGCCCGATCCTGAAACAGAAGCTCCAGGTCTGACTCCAGAGCCTTGTGTCCCCACGGGATGATCTTCTTCTGGACATCTGCCCACTCTGATTGGCTGTCTGCTTCACCCAAGGTAGACCCTGAGAAGAGATAATAGTTTCAGTATCAGACAGTGGCAGTTAGCCTGGGGCAGTTCTCTATGTATTGGCATCTTTGTTTGTTTTATTTTTATTTTTTTTAATTTATTTATTAAAGATTTCTGTCTCTTCCCTGCCGCCGCCTCCCCTTTCCCTCCCCCTCCCCCAATCAAGTCCCCCTCTCTTGTCAGCCCAAAAAGCAATC